TCACGTCTAGTGTAGACAGGAACGTCTGAGAAGGTTCAGTCGCATGAGTGACTGGAGGCATCTAGAGTTAGGGGTGGCCTTCCTCTCCCTACAGCCTCAGAGCCACTGCCTGCCTGGGATCTCTGTCCTGTGTGACACACACATTGAGGACAGAGGTGCTGTGATCCTGCCCTTGCATATATGTAAATGACCTCACCGTCCCTCCATCCGTCTCTGTCAGACTGGCCAGTGTGGGCAGAGGAAGCATATCTTACCACGATGGTGAAAAGGGATGGAGTGAGTCAGAAATATTTAAATTGAAGCACTTTATGGGGAATATTAGGAAGGGCTCCCAGATGCTCCCTCTGGTTCCCACTCAGTGGTGATGACGGGACAGTTGGTTCTCACCTCAGAGTCCTCAGGTCCCACAGCTTGACACCGTCGCCTACAGCAGCAGTGAGGAAAAGGTTGTATGCCTCAGGCTCTTGGGCCGCAAAGGCTGATCCCTGTGGGGAAACCCCATAAGTATCAAAACTGATATGCTAGGAACATCTGTAAAGTCAAACTGAAAACAAATCATGTTTTTAAGTTATTGCTGCTATTGTTGTCATGTGTCATCGAGTCAGTTCCGAATCACAGCAACCCTACAGAGGGTTTCCTAGAAGAAGCTGGTGAGTTCGAAGTACTGGCCTTGTAGTTCAAACTGACCTTGCAGTCCTGTGTTGTTGTTGTTGTTGTTGTTAAGTGCCATCGAGTTGGTTCCAACCCCTAGTGACCCTGTATAGGGTTTCTTAGGAGCATCTGGTAAGCTTGAACTGTCGACCTTGTAGTTCAAACCAACACATTGCAGTCGAACACATTAACCCACAGTACCACACCAAGACTGCAGTACTTATCCTATAATATATTCCAAATTGAACCCTGAAAGCTTCCATACAATGTGATTAGTAGGGGTGCATTCTGTCCTTAAGAATACTTGCAAACTCAAGGGGAATCACCGATGTTGAAAGGTAAATCTCTACTAAGTGGTAAAGACCAGGTGACCAGGATGCCTACTGAAAGTGGAGACAATGATCCACAGTCAGTAAATGACCTCAAGGCGCCCTCAACAAAGTACTCAGAGTTTAGAGGTCAGTTACTCACTAGCCGTAAGACACACAGAGCTGGCCCTGTAATGACCAAGCATCAGAAACCATTTGTCACGTTAAGACCCAGGTCTGGTTTTATAATCGGAGAGTGGTCCATCTCTCTCTCCCATGCTGCTGTCAACACATCATGGGGAGTTAAACCACCCCAGTGAATGAACTGAATCCAATTCCTTCTCCAGAACCATTTGATACAAAAGGTGAATTCAGTGCAGTATGCTTCATATTGTGACGCACCTTCTTTCTATTTCAGCAGCACAAAATTAAAGACCATTTAATGAAGTCTTTTCATAAGCATTTATGCTTAAATATACACCAGAAGTGATTCTACACTGACACCAGGACATTACGGCCAAAGCAAGTTCAGTAACAACAGGCTAATATGTTCCGAGTCTTCACAAGCATTCGGAACAGTGTGCACTAACACCCCTAACAGCCTTACCCTCCCCACTCGCCTTTCAGTTTGCTGTACTGTGCTGGCTTGCATGTTGGTGCGATGCTGGATCTTAAATACCAAAGACCAGCAGCATGACCCATGGTGGACAGGTTTCAGCTGAGCTTCCAGACTAAGACAGACTAGGAAGAAGGGGAGGTGGGCCGCTTCTGAAAAGTTATTGCTGCTCCTGCTCCCATGGATCCCACAGTCGGGGATAACTCATAATCATCCTGCCCAGGGCTTCCGGCACTGTGATTCTTTATGGGGTACAAAGCCTCACCTCGCTCCCAAGAAACAGCTCGTGGATTTGAACTGCTGGCCTTGCGGTTAGCAGCCCAACTCGTAACCCACCACACTACCACCCACTGAAAATCTTTGGAGCAGCAACAGAACAGTGCCTGATGCAGTACCAGAAGATGAGCCCCTCTGCTTGCAAGGCAAATAGAACTGAGCAAGAGCTGCCACCTCCAAGTAGAGCTGTCAATAGTGGCACGGATAAAGCAGAGCTCTTAGGACATTCGATTGATGACGGGGCACAACTCAAAATGACAAGAAATAGCTGTAAACATCCACTGATAATCGCAACATGGAACGTACACAGCACGAATCTAGAGAAATTGGAAGGTGTCAAAAATGAAATGGAATGCATAAAGAATAATTTCCTAGGGATTAGTGAACCTAGGAAAAAGATAGCT